CAGAAGGAATATGACTGCTGTGCTCACGGATGCGACGTTCGTTTGCGAGAATAACGTAGAGATGAAAACGGACTGCGCCATGCAAGCGATGGAAAAAAGTGTGAAGTAAAAGATCAAAATGGACAGATCGGTAGCCGGCAACAGCCGTCCATACTGAAATTCTCCATATCTTTCAAGTTATAGCTATTTTGATTCGTTTAAAGAACCATTTTCTAGAAAATTCCGTGTTTTTGTGAGACGATAAGTGGTAGATGCAGGGGCTAGAAGAAATAAACTGTGCTCAGCATTTCAATAGCCTCAAGAATTCCACAATAGAAATTTGGTTGTCCCGAAGATCCCGCTGAAACAAGTGCCCTAATGTAAAACCTAACAACTCCTCCATACTCTACCACTATAAGAGGCGCGAACACGCAAAAATAACCCGTACGGTCAGATACTGTCAATAGAAACCATCTGCTGACAAGACTGCCCTTGGCTTGCTCTACAGATGCTTTTTTAAATTAACTGGTAGAGAGTTTCATGCCCTGGCCATTATCATTTTACCATCGAAACAAACGAATCGCGGGAGAAATGGTTGTCCCAATCATACAATCGAACCTCCGTTTAAATTAAATTAGGAAATAAACGCTACTCACAGGCTCATCAAACTAATCAACGGAAAAATGTGCAAGACGCAAATTTTGCGCAGATTTCGAAATCCCTGGATCCTCTCGGTAGTCCATGTGGTACTTTAAAATGCCAGTGAAATTACTAGCACATTTGCTACCGTTTTCAAACCCGCAAAAAAAAGCAGCCTCAAAGAAAAAGCACTGTTTATGGTAGGCAACAAAGAAACAAGGTAAATTCTTGGAAGCAAATACACAGTAGATATGCTGACAGGTTGATTTCGGAGTGGGGAGCACATTGCGTCCGAATGCAGAGAGGAGTAATTCGATTCCCTTCGGGTGCAATAACCAATTTCGAAAATGTGTGTCTTTTTTTCACGATACTTGCTTACATGCTCTGACCTCCAAACTAGCTGCTCGCAGTTACTGTGCACTTCCGTAATGGATACATAGGCCTCTTGCGGAGGGAGGGGAGAGAAAGGAAGGAGGGATGGAAGCGAAGGAGAGTGTGGAAGAGAGTTTTCTTCCATTTTAGCTTTAAACCCAGACTTTTGTAGCACTGGTGCCTATGCCGCTTGGGAAAGAAAGAAGGAGAGAGGGACGAGGAGGGAAGGGGCGAAAGACTCATCGCCTATGTTTCCGCCCATCATGCGAAAGTAATAAAAATAAGTTAGACCTTGAGTAGTACAGAAATGAAACATATGGAGATAAAATTGATGGCAAAAGATTGCACGCTCCAGGCGATCCAGTGTACTGAGTCGCCGAGGCCCATAATTCTCATCATCTCCTTGAGTCGCATCTCCTTCTCGTAAACGATATTCTTGACAAGCAGCGCCGAAGGTATCATCCATGACAGGATCACAAACATTCCCAAAAAGTTGAGCACATAGAACCTTAAAAACTGTTTCAGTCAGCCAAAAATTCGTTTTCCATGCCGCTGAGTTGCTATTTTACCGAGACAAATTAAAAATGATCTGTCAGGAGCAATGTGCTTTGATAGACAATATTCTCGTTTTAGGATACATGTGCAGAACCTACAATCCTTCTCCAGAAAACGAGTTTTACTTCGTTTAAATTATTCGTATTTGCAGCCTGGCTAACACTGTGCTAACAGCTGAACCAACTAGAGACCTTTACTTCTGCTGGCGAGGGCCCACATACGACACGCAGCTACATTATTTCTCTTGTTATGAACAGTTTTCTTGTTAGTGCTTCCCAACTTCCTCCTTTTCACTTTCCTCCTATCCCAGTCTTCATTCATTCACAAGCCCCAGAGACCAAAATTCATAGGGAAACCATTAAAGGGCGTCCTAAAGCAGAAAACCAATAGTTAACATGTGTCGCTGAAGCCCAGCAAGTAGATTTTCTGAAATTTTAAAAACCATCTTCTGTTCTCCAAGAAAAATCCTCTCCAAAAAAAACCCTACTTATCCATAATAATACACTTGTATGGCTCCTGCTGCGCATAGAGTCCCGTGCGGTGTTTGCGTCCGCTAATAGATTCGATCAAAATCCTGTCAATGGATTCTTGGAGAAAACTGAATCCGAATGTTAAATATTTCATATCAACCAGGAAATTGTCTCGTGATACCAAATGGCCGAACGAATCCATCAGATCCTTTGTTGCTGAAAAGGAGGGATGTATTTTTGCTTGAAACAGTCTTGCAATTTTTTTCTGTTTCATACGCAATAATAATAACGATAACAATAACAATACTATTAATAATGATGATTAATAATAGCAATAATAATGGTCGAATCAAGAATAAACATCTGTGACAATCAGGAAATGTCAAAAAAAATGATAATAAGGCAGGAAACTGGAGAATTTATTTGCTCATACTTATGAAGAGTAAAAAAAAAAGAATTTTAATCTGTAAGAAGCTAATTTGAAAAAAGTTTTTAGTAAAAAAGTTGAATCAAAAAAAAAAATCCAAAAAAACTTTTCTTGGTATTTTCATTCCGGCCTCTTCACATATAAGTCGGACCATAGCAAGACTAATTAAAATGAAGCACAAATGTGACTAAAAGAGCAACTTTTATGCAAACCATAACGTAATGCTTAATAAGAAAGGCAAAGCAAAACATTTCTTCCAAATTCTCTTGCAGAAATATAAAATATTTTAGGATCTTTGAAGTTATGCTAGGATTTTACATATTTTCATGTTTGCAATCTTCTTCTGAACGGGGCAAACACCGGAGGAGTTGTTTTGAAAATTTAACCATTTCTTAACACAACCTGAAAATGGATGTTGCTGGAAACTTGTTATTATTGCAGATATGAAAACTCACAGTCAATAAAGTTAGGTGGATGGCGAATTTTGTAGGTTACTGAGGAAGGAAACTGCGTTGAATTTTCATCGAGATGAAGGAAGACGATGCCTGTCATGTACTGTTGGTAGTCCATTAGGCAAAGAGCCCGGTCTACTAGTTCTTTCTCGTCCGAAACAACCACAAAACGATCGAACACGAAGCACTGCAAAATTATTTGGGCAGTTAAAATATTTACAAAATTAGCTATATCAGCGTAAGAAATAATAAAAAAAGGAATAAATGTTGGCACAAAGAGTTTAGAAGATCCTGCGATTACTTTTAAAATTTCTTCGAGATAAAGCGAAAGCGATTTTGCAAGCATCAGAAGCGATGAGGGATCGTCGGAGGAGTCGAACATCGTGGCCAACAAGGCGGAGAGTTGTTCGAATAGTTCCGTCTTGATTAGGCCTGCCTCATTCAGCAGCTTCAGATATCTCACCAGATTCTACAAATCAAGCATACATCAAAGAATAGAATTCACTAAACTGAGCTTTTTTTAAGACACAGAAGATACTGTGCCAAACCCACTGAATCTGTCCTGCTGCCGCATAACATTTCTAAAACAGTAGGTTACGCTTGTTTATGACTCACGTAAAAGTGGCGGATTATGATCTTCTTCCAAAAATAAATTCTTACAGAGATGTGAACTAAATGGAAGAATCAAGAAAAGAAAAAGCGGATGGAGGGGACAAAGGAAGAAAACAACTGGCCAGCGCACCAACTGCCGATGAGAAAATGCGTTTTTTACACATTTCCGCGCAGGTTTTTGTCGCTGACGGCACTGTTTTTTCCGTCACATGAATTGGACTGGCCACGACGACTGTGAGGAAATATTCCCTTAAAATTCCAGCTTTCTGGCTTTTCAGATTCCTGAGTTAGCAATTTACCCACAAAAAATTTTCACGGACAGAATCACGCATACCTGGTGGCTAATTATGAAGTCATTTGATTGTAAGTGACAGGGAACAGCCACCTTTCCAGCTTTTCTGGTTCTAAACTTAGCAACTTGCCTGCAAAAAATCTTAACAGGCCATGGGAACCACGTACACCTAGGAACTAGGTTCAAACTCATTAATTTCTAAGTGGGTGGGGAATATCCGCCTAAAATTCCAGCCTTTTAGCTTTCCAAATTCCCGAGTTAGCAACTTGTTCGCCAAAAATTTTGACCGGCCAGTATGTGGGAACCACGTGGACAAGAGAGAACTCATGCATGCAGATTAAGTTCCCAATGTTTCAGCCCCGTAGCTTTTTTAGGTCTCGAGATGAAAAATCGGTAGGGATGAATACACAGACACAAAGATAGACAACCCCTCAACAATATGCGTTTTTGCAATGCATAGATGTAAAAAAAAACATAAAAAGGAAGAAGCTTCCGAACTATGCAAAGGCGTTTACGCTTCCAGCCGAAGATTGTGCCGAAAAGGGAAGCACGTGAATTACTACAGTTAGCCTTGATTTTTTAAATGTGCATCAAACAACATACAGACACAAACTAACATACATACTAGTTAGGGGGTTTTGCTGACAAATGATAATATCAGTCAAAAACCTTGCCATTTTTTTTGAAAACCATTCGAAGCAGCCAAAGTGGTAGCTCTTACAGTGGCAACCACCCGCTGCTAAAAGTGTCATTGCTTGCCTTTTCCAAAATTTGCTTAGAAGTAAATTGGTGGTAAGTTCGAGATCTTGACAAATGCCACTGGCAATTTACTGATGAGACGAATGAACGAATCGCAGAAGGACTGACTGGCGGAGCCGAACCTTCGATCTACTACATAGAAATAGCGCTATCCACCACTATACCATTAATAATATTTGTAATATTCTTACTTGGGCAGCAGGATAAAGCTCACTGTAAAATAAGGCATCTTGCAAAGGCGCTGCCATACGATTGAAGTTAACCAATGAAGTGCGCAATAAGCTAGCCCAGCGAAGCGGTTCCGACAGCTGAAACTACCCTTTTCCGGAAAAAAATTACGTAAATAGAAAACTGATTTTTCAATTTTTAGTTTTTCTACACTTTTAGCTCTTGTATTTTCGCACCCTAATCACAGTACCAAAGTACTTATGACAGTTATGTTAGAAAATATGAGTTTGTGCATGCTGAATCAGTTCCACATTACGCGTTTTGGGCAGAACAAGAATGCCTATGTTTCATAAGCGAACTGAGTGAAAATTTAACTGTTAGTGAAAACATGACACAGTTTACAATAAGTACAAAAATAAGATCCATAACGTGAACTTTAAACCAGTAATCTGACCAATCATAGTAAAATGATCCATAAACCCCTCTATTTTCGGAATTAGAAGGAGATGTCCTATGTCCACTGCTTCTTTAACTTGTTCATACTGTCACCAAGCATCTCAGGTCAGACGATGGGTACTTAACTGAAGGTATGCAACCCGAGACCAAACGGCCTGACACAGATGCGACCGTTGTGTGGCTACATCCTATTTAAAGTTGTTTTTTGACAAATCAGTAAAACGCAGGTCACATAACACTTATGCGCACGAATGGAAATATATTTTAAATAAAAGTGGAATCTGCACCAGTAGCAAATGATTTTCACACCGTTTGTGCCAATGACACGGTAATATTGGTAATATTTTTAGCCAAGCGGTATTCACTATAATATTATTTGGAAATCAAAATGTACTCTTGACGCCAAGTAACTTATGCAGCACATACCTTCTGGACGAATTCATGAACAACAGGTGAGGCAGGCGCAACCAGGATATAGCCACTGATCAAAATCATGAACTGGGACTGTGCAGCACCTTCCAGGAATGTGCATTTTGAATCTGTAATAGTACAGAAGTCCTGTTATTTCTGGTTGCTTTCAGCAAAGAATCGCAATCACATAAGCGATCTCAGAAGAGTTTCCCTTAGCTTACGTCTATGTGCCCGGCGCATATAAAATATTCACAAGACTAACCCAGCGGATCACTCAAAAATCACCGGTGAATGCATCCCGGGGTATTTATTTGCTACTTTGTTACTTTGCCTTGCAGCCCTCTCACCATTACGGATCTTCGCAGATGCAATTTTATTATATTGTTGCGGCTTGCACTCCATCATTTGTCCGTCAGGTCACAGATGATTCTGGCCTGATCTTCTTCGTCCTATCAACGAAAATGTTCGATGCCATATTCTTTTCCTCATTTGGTACTTCATCATATGCACTAGTGATCGAAACCAAAATCCTCGACAGTATTACTCACAGTGCCGGATATAATTACAGCAGTTACCTGTTTCTAGGGGAATTGCAGTCATTAGAATTTTTATAAATGAAGACTCTTCTAAGTCAGTATGGTACCTCATCGTAACGATATTGCTCAATACACACACCCACACACATACACACACACACACACACACAAACACCACAGTGATATCTCGAAGCAACTAAAGCCTCGCCAAGTACTTTTACCGAAAAAGGCACTGAGTTGGTACTCCTTTCAGGAGAAGAAAAGAACATGAGGATCGCTTGCAAGTTGAGCCACCAGGCGATACAGCACATTAGTCAGGAGGAATGGAAACTGCTAGCTGCATAACCGAATTGGCAACTATGAACTGTAGGTGACCAAAGTAAGTAATCTAGTGAATGATTACATAAGTAAAACTGAAGCAAATGCGTATTTAGACATAACCTGGATGAACCGTAATATTGCCACAGAAGCGTTTTTTCTTGACGTGTCGTTCCTCACGTCGCGGCGTTATGTATCGCAAATATTTGTACATTCTTTCTCTATCGGCAGTGTAATCGGCGGCTGCTGCAGCCCCGGACACAGATTCCACACTGTACTGGTTTAGATCAAATGCTGTAATAAAAAATATGCTATGTGGAAATACTGTATCTAAAAAATTCTTCCCGGTAACAACCCAGCAGAATTAAAAATTTCCGGAAATATTTCGTCGCAATCTCAGTCCTTACGTAAACGTTCCACTTTTTGAGCATAAGGTACGCATGCGAATTTCGACGCTTTATTTCTGATGAGCAAAAGAGATGCTCGCGCAATAACTAGTAGCATAGGGATTGGATAGTAACATTTGTTATGCCTCTCAGCATCAAATCTCAGGATCTTTTCTTGTCCCATGTGTACAGTCATTCTCTTGAATTCATACATACTCGCTCTAGAAGCTTGCCTGTGATAGCCCAAAAAGCATTGCGACGATTTCTCTAACTCAAAAAAAGTACTTATTTTGCACGTCTTCTTATGGAAGTTTTACGTCTTAAGTATTCTCATATTGTATTTTTGATACTAAATTTTCTGGTAGAAATTTTTTAAAAATCATTTTTTAAATTTTGCTGAGAATGAGGAAAATTTTATGCTTCGGTAGGTCAAGTAAAAAATTCTGACAGCTCTGATTCATAGTTAACTTCATTAACAGCCGCTCTCAGGGATTTTCCTTAAAAGCCAGATGTTTCATGATGAAGTGGCAATAAGCAGACTATTTGGATGCTGCTTATGGTCATCTGATGCTTACAATAAGTTTCTTCCAGAAACTATAAATAACGCTTACGGTTATAGCCACAGAACAATGCATCGATGATGGATTCACGACTGCTTAAGTCCAATGATGAGAAAACCGAAGTCAAATCTTTCAGCACTCGATCATTCCAAAAACTACGCATCGTTTTGGATATTTCCAACAATTCAGCACTGTCCACAGGACTGCTGTCGTTAACTGATGCAAAGTTAAGCCACTAAAATTGTTCTTAAAGACAATCGAGATAAAAACAGATTTGATTCTTGAGATCCTTCAACAATCTTGCAAAAATTCCACACTTTCCGAATATGGTGATCTGGTAATAATCTGGAGAAATGTTCAATATCTAAGTATGTGTTTATCTTTTTTTTTCAAAGCAGTGATCGAAAGGTTGCCAAAGATTTTGTTTCCGACGGAGTAACGTGTGTGCTTTGTGGGAATTTCAATAACTTCAATGTGCGCCACAAATTCAGTACCAGTAAGCATGACAGTGTGATCAATTTTCAAAGTGTAAAGCATGCTGTGCATATTATAAAATTATATTTTTTTTTTCCTTCGTTTCCCCCTTTTGCCTTATGACTCAGAATGCAATTTGCATTCCTGCGTGTTTACAGTTTTTTGCATTTTCGTCTTTCCTCTTTTTTTACACCCGTAAAAACCTTATTATACATTCGCCTCCTTTATCCCACTTCATTCCTATTTTGGAATGCGCTTGCATGCCCAGCCGTTTTACTTCCTTATTATGCGTTTTGTGCTGTGTAACAGCAGTACAAAACGCATATTGTTACGGGGTTGTCTGT